TTTGAGATGCCTATGGAGTTTATAAATAAAATATTATAAAGTGTGCAAAAAAGTTTATATAAAAGTTATCTTTAAAGTGGATAAAGTTATTTTATTCTAATCAAATAAAAATTTAAAGCCACATATATTTAAAACGAGAATTAATTTTTGAAAGATAAAAAAGTGCTATTTCACGGACAATTACACGCAAAGTGAACTTATTTCTGTGAATATTAATTTTTATCGGCAAAGTTTAAAATGGAAAGATATCAATGCAATTTCTGTTCGAAAACATGCAGCTCTGCTGTTACTTTTAAGAAGCATTTGCTATTGCATAAAATTTGTGCAGTATGCAACAAAATGTTTTTACACAACAAAGCACTGAAATTGCATTATGAGGTCTATCATCCATATCATCTCAAAGGACTACAGAAAACAAATCAGCAACATGCAAATCCTCAACATGCAACAACATTGAATGATCAACAACAACATCAAGCTTATTTTCAACAGCCAACAGGAACATGGCAACAATCTCAAGAAATATGGCAGCAACAAGCACATTTTCAACACCCTACAGGAACATGGCAACAACCCCAAGGATTATGGCAGCAAAGCAATCAACACCAACAGCAAGCATACCTTCAGCAACATCAAAATTATACTCATGCAGATATAGGACAAAACCCACAAAGCTTTAATCAACATCATCTCCAACGACAAATTCAACAGAAAGATGATGAATCAAATAAAAAAAATAACATGAAATTAGTAAGAAGTGGATACAACAACCGAATTCAAACCTTCGAATACAAAATCAAGGAAGAAACTTTAGAGGTTGACGTTATATTTCAGGATGCAAAACATACAATTATTAGCCAGCTTGAAGATGCATTAAATCGCCACAAGTTAATAAAATTTCAATTGGAGCTATGTGGAGAATATGTTAAACAATCAAATGAAAACTTAATAGTAAAAAAAATATATCATAATACCAAAGTTACACAGCTTGATAGAGCTACCAACATAGATCCTATATTGAATGACCATTTCGAGTATATTAAAACGAAGATGTCTGAGTTTCAAGAACGGGATTCTGGTTGGGCACTTCTAAAGATTTTTAGTTTGAAAATCAATATTTACAAACATTCGCCTATAAGAGGTTCTCAATATATACCAACCCCAAAAGTAATAAAAAATAAAAGAGCATGTATCAATATTTATAACCAAGACATATATTGCTTTAAATGGTGTATGATTGCTGCATTGGAAACTCCGCACCCTAAAAACCCTTCACAAACATGTTCATATGCAATAGAAAATATTAACTCATCATTTATAGTATTACAAAATGGAATAACACTGAATTTTGAAGGAATAGAATTTCCGATGGAGCTGAAGTACATAAAAGTGTTTGAAGAAAAAAATCCAAACATTAGCATCAATGTGTTTGGATTCGATTATTCTTCACATTCCATAGTTGGACCATATTTCATCACGAAACATGTAAGAGATACGCATGTGAATTTGTTGTTGCTGGAAAATGATGACAAAGCTCATTACATTTGGATAAAATATTTATCTAGGTAAATTGTGATTTTATTACAAAAAATCAATTATTATGCAATATTTATTTATTTATTTTTTTTTTTTGTTTTTATTATTTTAGGTTAGTGCATAGCCATTTGACAAGAGACAATAGGCGTCTACATATTTGCAACCAGTGTTTGTATTATACAAACAAGATAGAAATGATGGAAAGACACAAGGAGCTATGCAGTAAAGTTGTAACAAAAATGCCAGAAGAAGGTAAAAGCACGTTATCTTTTAAAAACTATAAGAAGCAAATGAATGTCCCGTTTGTTATATACGCAGACTTTGAATGCGTATTAGAAAAAACGGCGAACATAGATAATATAATAAATAAGCATATTCCATGTGCTTTTAGTTTTAATATTAAATGTAATTTTGATAATAGCTTAGATGAATTATATATATATACTGGTAAGGATGCAGTAGAAAAATTTGTTAAAATGTTGGATAATAAGTGTAGGGATATTCATAAAAAATATTTAAGTATCAATAAGCCAATGACACCTTTAACGCCATCTCAAATTGTAGACTTTGCCACTGCAGTATATTGTCATATTTGTGATGAGGAATTAGGTAGTGATAGGGTTCGTGATCATTGTCACATAACTGGTCAGTATAGGGGGGCTGCACACAACGAGTGCAATATAAACTATACTATTCCAACATTTATTCCCATTTTATTCCACAATTTTTCTGGATACGATTGCCATCTTTTTATAAAAGAACTAATTAAATATATCCCTAGTAAGAAAACTAATATAATTCCACAAAATAAAGAATTATATATTTCATTATCACATATTGTTGATATGGATAATGGTATGGAATTTGAATATAGGTTTTTAGATTCCTTTAAATTTATGGCGGCAAGTTTGGAAACGTTAGCCAACAATTTGGAAGATGTAGATTTGAAATCAGTTAGGGCACATTTTCCCAATGATAGCCAATTTAATTTAATGAGGCGAAAAGGAATATTTTGCTATGAATATTTAGACTCCTTTGATAAACTAAATGATACAGTTCTTCCATCCATTGACGATTTCCACAGCACTTTATATAATTCCAGTTGTACTTTTGGTGATTATGAACATGCAAAACGTGTGTGGGAGACGTTTAACTGTCAATCATTAAAAGACTATATGGAGTTATATTTGAAGACAGATGTGCTCCTATTAACAGATGTATTTGAGAATTTTCGAAATTCCTGTAAAAGAGTTCATAAACTTGATCCCTGTCAGTACTATACTGCACCAGGCTTGTCTTTTGATGCAATGTTACGTTTTACGAAAATAACACTTGATCTTCTAAGAGATTTGAACATGTTCAATGTTATCAAAAAAGGTATCAGGGGTGGTCTAGTTCAATGTACCAAAAGATTTGCAAAAGCAAATAACAAGTACATGAAAGACTACAATCCAAATTTGCCATCACATTATTTATTATATTTGGATGCCAATAATTTGTATGGTTGGGGGATGAAGCAGTATCTTCCAGAAGGAGATTTTAAATGGTTGCAACCTGAGGAGGCGATAATAGATGTTGAGGAAATTCTTAAATTCATTCATAATTCTACCATTGGATACATATATGTTGTAGACCTTGAGTATCCGGAAGAATTGCATGATCTACACAATGATTTACCCTTTTGTGCAGAAAATAAAAAGGTTGGGGATTCAAAATATGAGAAGCTTATTGCTGATTTTAGTCCAAAGAAAAACTATGCAATACATTATATGAATTTAAAACAATGTTTAGAAAATGGGCTAAAATTAACAAAAGTTCATTTTGTAATTTCGTTTCGTCAATCTCCATGGTTAGCACCATATATAGATAAAAATACAGCCGAACGACAAAAGGCATCTAATTCATTTCTTAAAGACTTATATAAACTATATAACAATTCTGTTTTTGGGAAAACAATGGAAAACGTGGATAAAAGGAAGAACATTAAACTAGTCAATCATTGGGAATATAAAGATAGACGTAGAATTGGTGCTCAAAAATTGATATCAAAACCAAACTTTCATAGTGCATCACAATTTGATGATGAATTATGGGCAATCCAAATGAACAAAACAAACGTAACATACAATAAACCTATTTATTTAGGTTTTTGTATTTTAGAACTTGCTAAATATAGAATGTATGATTTCTTTTATGGATATATTAAAAAAAAATTTGGCAATCGTGCAACTCTTTGTTATACAGACACGGACTCATTTATTTTAGATATTGAAACGGATGATGTATACGAAGACATAAAATCTGACATTGACTTGCAGTTTGATACATCCGATTATCCAGATGACAATATATATAAAATCCCCAGAAAAAATAAGAAAATAATTGGTATGATGAAGGATGAGAACTGTGGAAGAATTATGACCACGTTTGTTGGATTAGGACCTAAAATGTATTCCTTCCAGGTTGAAGATGGCGAAGAAGTAAAGAAAGCAAAGGGCGTTAAAAAGTGTGTAATTGCAAAATATACAATAAATGATTATAAAGAATGTTTACTAAATGAAAAAATAACTACAGATGTCATGATTAATTTTAGGTCTAAGATGCACCAATTGTATACAAATAAAATGCTTAAGATAGTTTTAAATTGTAAAGATACAAAAAGAAAAATCAAAGACGATAAAATAAATACTTATGCATGGGGGCATAGAAATATTGAAAATGAATATGTAAGTAACATTAACCTTGACTTTTCAAGACCATTGGATATAGATTTATCTAGTAGTGATATAAATGATGATGAGCTAGATAGGTATTTAAATATCGACGAAGATTATTTAAATAGTTTAAACTTTGATTTTTCCATTCCAATGGAAACAGATTTAGATATTCCATGTAATATTGACATTGATGAATTGAATGTATATTTATAAGTTCCCATTGTAAATAACAATATATAAAAATATATGTATCTATATATATATATCTATATATAAATAATAAACAAAGTGTAAATTATTTCATTGTAAAGAAATGTGTTTTATTTCATTTAAATAAATTTAATGTTTAATATAATATGTAAGTATAAATATCTTATACTACTTTTCGAACAATTCCAGTCAAAGGTATGTATTCCACCAGACGATCATGGATAATCAGACAATATGCTAAAGTATTTGGGGGAATTGGTGTACTGGTTTCAAATTGGATCTTCAAATCAATTGGTCCATTCTTCACGACTTCGTTTTGATTACTTATATCAATGACAGCAATTGGATTGTCTTTAAAGCCTTTGTAGGAAAGAAGTGGATGTGGTTCTCTCATATAGTATGTTTCTTGAAACTTAGTATACATATCGTAAAGTACTGCATAGCGATTTTCTCCATACTTTAGATTTAAATCATCATAGGGATACGTTTCTGAATTCAAATGTACTTTGATGTTTTGAAGATCACAATGCATCAATTTGTGATCTTTTTCAAATACAAATGCCACATATCGTGGTCTTTCATGATTTGCCGATAATTTAACATTCCAGCTGTGTTGTCTTCCACCAACAAATGTTGGATTAAAGTAGCAGTCCCAGCTACGAAATGCTATTGGTAATGTTTTTCCATCCTTTATTGTTTTCAAGAAACTAATTTTTCTATAGTCAGACAAATTTATGTGTTGCACTTTCCACACAATGTTTGTAATAGTAAGACGAATATCTTCTTTTGAGTCTGTAGAATAGCATACATTTGTATCATTGGCACTCCGCAAAAGAATCAAATCATGTTTGCTATTACAAATTACTTTTTTGAAGTCTTCAGCAAATCCAAGCAAACGGTTCAGTGGCATGCAAAAGTTGAAGGAATTGGTTGACACATCATCAACACCCCATCCAGCATTACTCATAACTTTACTTTCAGATTCACTTAGAGAAATCCAATTTTTAACTTTCGTAGTTACACCTAGATAACGTGTACGATCGATTTCAATTCCATTCAACTCATATCGAATTTCATCAAACATATACCCCACACAATTATTCCTTAGTCTAGCATTTGAAGAATTTTCACCATTTGCTTTTCTTAAATAGCCTTCAATATATAAATAACTTTCGGATGGCAGAACGTATAGGTCTTGATTTTGTATACTTATACGAATTTCATCATTATTTTTAAACGATTGAATATAGGGAACATAGCTATGATAATCTCTCTTTACAATATTCTCATCTGAGAATGGACGCTCATTAATATTGAGAATTTCAGACATTTGGCTTGACTTTTAATTTAATTAGTTTTAAAAATTCTTTATTTTTTTTAGTTATGGGAGGTCTTGTTGGTTTAACAACTTGTTGTGGAATGTTTTTAGATATCTGTTTATATTTATATTTATTATAAATAATCATGTTTGTCTTGATCTTATATGAATTCGAAGTGTGATTTCCTCCCCTCGAAAATTTACTAAGCGACCTTCTTGATCTAATATCTGTACTTCAAGACGACTTATTTCTTTGACGTTTACAGGCAAATAAATGAGATTAAATGGTCTCTCAGCTAATTTATAGCCCGGAGGAACATCTAAATCAAATTCATGTAAGATATGAGCAGGTGAATTATTCATAAACGATCCAGTTACAATGTTGCAGTGTATTTGTAAAACATTGACCTTTAAAATATTTACTGGAAGGTTGGAAACATGTTTTTGTCTGGGCTCCAAAATTTTTTCAGTGAATCCAAAGAGTTTTGCAATAGATTTATCCTTATTAAAGAATATTGGGTCATGAGATGATTCAATTTCTATTTGTAATGTGTTATTGTTGGCTTTAATGTTAATATTTTTATTTATGTATATATTTTTATAAGCAGTTTCTAAATAGTCAGCGATGTCTTGTAGCTCATACGATCCTATTGGTATTTTTATTATTTTGTCACCAATATGAAACAAATTATTATCATCATCCACATTAGGTATTGAGTTGTAGGTTTGAAAATCAATTAAACTGCACTCATATTCAACATCCCCTAATTCTATAGGCGGTGAATAATTTGAGTGTAAAATTGAACTATTACCGGTTAAAGTGAATGTTCTTGACATTGCGAGATTCTTTTTTAAAATAAATAAAAACACAAAGGTATA